TCTCGGATAAGAACTTGAGAGGCAATGAGAGGAGCCAATATGACCCTAGAAGCTAACTGAAAGTCCGAAGATAATGACATAAATTATAAAAATATAAACTGTACCAAGATTATTTTATTTTACTCTTGTTTGGAATTACCAGATTTTTTTTTTTTTGCACTTCTTACAAATTCTTTTGTCTTTTGAATAGTTATTACGACAGTAGCTGTGTTCTACCCAAGTAATGTAATACTTTTTTGATATGTTAGCATAGCTTTTGTTGATAACAAAATGTGTGTATTTATTTATTGCCATGAGGACCCAGGAAAAAAATATACAGAAAAAATTGTTTCTACATAAAATTCTGGCGTGTAGAGCCCGGCCTCAACTGTGTTGACTTTAGGTCCTTTGATTCTTTGCTGTACACAAATGCATGCTCAAATCTTTTATCACGTTTAATACATCACACATCGATGTAAAAATATTAATATTACCTGCACAGCCCTTGCAAACCCCAGTTTTCTTTATACAGGGAAGGAGACCTTTCATCCTGAACACCTATATCTTTTTTTTTTTTTTAAACACTACCTCCCAACGTGGGGCTCAAACTCACGATCCTGAGATCAAGAGTTGCATGCTTTACTGACTAAGCCAGCCAGGCGCCCCGATTTTTCAATTAATGCACATAAAATGGACTCATTCTCAAGTATGGGGCCTCTGGTGAGAAATGCATTCCACCAAATCGTTATCACCATTTGAAAAGACTTTCAACCTATACTCAATATGGAGGTAATTTTTTTAAAAGATTTTATTTGTTTATTTGAGAGAGAGAGAGAGAGAGCACAATCAGGGGGAAGGGTAGAGGGAGAGAGAGAGAGATTTCCAAGCAGACTCCGCATTAAGCGTGGAGCCCAATGTGGGGCTCAATGCCACAACCCCAAGATCATGACCTGAGCCAAAGTCGAGTCCACACTCAACCGACTGAGCCACCCAGGTGCCCCAATATAGAGGTGATTTTTAATAGATAGGAAGCTTCTGGTAAGCTTGCTCTTCCAAAAACTATTAGAGGTTGTTGATATTTACTGGTAGCAAAGCCTAGCCATGTGTTAAAAGGGGGGGCGGGCAAGCAAATCCAGAATCCCTGATTCCTTGGAATTTGCCCCTTTAGCAGGAAGAGTATAGTTCAATAAGTAAAGCCCCAGATTAAGAAACACAAGATATACATGACTTTTTAGTCTTAAAATTTAACTGTGTCTCTGAAGTTAACATTGCAATCATAAATGGCAGTTGTAAAAAGAAGCTGGTGCATTACTTCCGGGTCCCAGTCCTAGTCTTTCCACTAACTAATAGTGACCTCAGTGTCTTCATCTGCAAATTGAGAGATTTCCCATGAAATAATTGCTGACATTTCCTCAAACTATTTATTCTGTGCCAGGCACTGTTTTGGGTGCTTTACATTAAATTTCTTTCATTTTTCCCCAACAACACTATAAAATAGATATTCTGGTTATGCCTAATTCATCTATTAGGAGACTGAGATAATCAAGTGCTGGGTGATCAGAGAATTTTAGAAGTGGGAGGGTCCATGGAAATCATCATATCAAAGGTAGTGAGTGCATCATGGGGTTAAGGGTGCAAGCCCTGTACCCAAAATGTGTGGTTTTCAGACTTGGATCCTTCACTCATTAGAAATAAACCCCGAGCACATGACTTAATCTTTGTTTGCCTCAATTTGCTCATCTGTAAAATGGGGATAATAGAATCTGCATTATCTGGTTGTTAGGATTCAATGTGCAGTGCTTAGAACAGTGTCTGTCGCCTCAGAAGCTCTCGGTAAATGTTATAGATGAGGATGAGGATGGTAGGGTCTGGGGAAGTAAACACTGTTGTTTTCTTAGAAGAAGAATGTGTTACAGTATTATTAAGTGATTCCCCAATTAGGTCAGAAAAATGTTGCTGGTGGTACAGTGATGGTCTTAATGGAAAGAATGGAGTTAGCATTATCAGTGATCCAGAACGGTTTCTTAGAGAAAGAAAAGTATTAGGTTGAAGAAGCAAAGTGAAGTGAAGTGTTCGCCTAGAAAGGCAGAAAAATGTGTTAGGGTGTAATTCAGCAAAAAGTTTACAGATACAGTGAAAGCAGTAGCATGTACAGAAGTGAGGCCCAAATTTGGGTGCTCAGATGGAGTTATTCCAGTTTCTTTCGATCATCAGAGACACATATAGAATGCCAGTGCTAAATGGGACCTTGGAGATTGTCCTGTACAACCCCCTCATTTTACATTTTGCATTTTACAGTTTCTGTGAGGATAGAGTTTGGTGAAATTTAGCCAGAATCACAGTACAGTGATACCAGGAAAATTTGTGGTATGTTTAAAGAGGGATTTCAAGTAAGGATGAAGGGAACGAGGGAGGAAGTTCCTTCCATTTTGGAGTGATACCCAGGTTGGAAAGCAGAGTACAGAAGATTGTGAATTCCCCCTAATTAATTCAAAGAGGGAGAAATAGAAGGGAGGAAGAGAGACAGAGAGAGAGCACTCTTAATTTTATGCTAAACAGTCTGAGATTGGATTTGTAGTTAATGTTTAAAAGCCCATGGTAAGGAAAACTCTTATTTTATTATTTCTAAGAACTTGGTTTCCTAAAATGCAAAGGAAGTTTGGGAGAGAGTATGACAGTGTTAATTGCTCTGGCAAATGAATTAATCCATTTGCTGCTGGTGGTGTTGAAATTGATAAGTGGTTAACGTTAATCTGTTACTGTTTAGAATTAATAAATCTTGGCTTTCTAAAAAATCACTTTTAACTAAGTCTATGCTTAGTGCTTTCTTTTAAATAACTGAGTGTCTCAATAGGAACTAATGAGTCAGATTAATTTGGCGTGGAGTTCTGAGCCAGAGAGTGGGGCAGAAATCCTCTTTCTGAACACTGACAATGCTGTGCTGAGTTCCCTTTACAATCCTTGGAGCCAGGTTGGGTTGGAGGGGGTTTCTCTGAGGGGTTTAAAGGCTCCCCACTGTGCTTGCTCCCCGGTTACAATAGCCTTGGATTACTGAATGAGGACTAGTTTGTCCGTATACATGGAGGAAAAGAAGCCAACAGGACCAAGGCTGAAGCAGTGATAAGATTTTTATGGCTGTGAACCCACTTATGTATTATTCTTTATAAAAAGCATTTACCTACCATGTCAGTATTTTAGAAAGAGGCTTTTAGTTTGGCATATTTTTTTAATTAAAAAGGAAAAATATTGCCGTTATGTCTGGCCATATTACTGTTTACACTGTTGTAGGGGTTGGGGATATTGGAAGCCGTCCATATTGTATCCCTCAGCCTTGCCCAATACCGCAGCCCACCTCCATTGCTGAGAGAAAGGCTTCAGGAAAATGGGGGCAGCTGAGGAATAAAGACCTGTTAGTCTCAATCTTTCTTCTTTCTGCCGTTTGATTGGGCTCCCACTTCGTGATCTGCTTGTTGCGTTGTGTGATGGAATCAATTTGGAAACCAAGAAACTGAGGTGCAGCATGATTACAGGGTTATCTTCAATCCCTCGGGCGTGTATGACAAGGCAAAACGAGAGGCAGAACTCAAGCTTTTAGTCTGGGTGGAGGCCCAAGAGGTCATCCTGCTTCTGCCCTAGAAACTGGTTGGACCCGTGAGTGGTCAGTTCTCCTACCCTCAAAAGAAACCTCTCTGCACTTGCAAAATTGTTTGTACCACAAAGGACACATTAAAAAACCAATGGCTTAGGAAATCAAAGGTAGCCATGAGTGATGTAATAGAAAGGAGTATTTTAGTGGTCGGGCATATGAATTTTATAGGTTCTATATTGCTCTAAAGCATTACTGTTACGGGCAAGATACTTTCAGGGATGTGACTGGTGACATCTATGCTTAGCCTTCTTTCTTGTGGTTCTAACTCCCCTGTGCTCTCCAACTTTATTCATCCGCATGAGGACTCCAAATGGGACGTCCTGGTGAAGAACAGGGATTTGCAGGGGTCTGGTGCGTGAAAGCCCGCAAGTCCCTAGTGGTGAGTGAAAACTGGCTATGTTTGGAGTATGGAGAGGTGGCATTAGCCAGACTCTGACATATGCATCAAAACACAAAAACAAAATCAGAATGTGTCCTCAAATGTTGGGGAGAGGAATGTCAGACAAACCTTGTTGGTTTGTTAAAAAAAAAAAAAAAAAGCTGAGTGGGGTATGGCAGAATCATATAGAGGGAAGGAATAGAAAATAACTCTCTGAAAAGAAATTTGGGGGAGAAATAGTATAATTGATACTCATTTCCCCCTTCTGGAATTGGAAATAGTAGGTCTTTACATGCCCTTAAGGGAAAATGTAAAGAATCTGAAATTTTTCTAAGCAGAAATAATTTTTTCTTTGGAGAGAAGGAATGTGAGCTAATGAATGTAAACCTGTATTAAAATGGAAATAAAATTATGACCAGAAAGAAGGAGAGGGAGGAGCACGACAGTGGCTTTTAAACATTCAGTCTAAGTCTTACTCTGTCTTAAAGTATTTATTGTTTCTATCTTAGAGTATGTCATGTGTTAAATATCTCTTTTTGCAGAAATTGATTTGAAGCTAGAAAAGCCTTTGAAAATTACGAAGTTTAGGATTTGGACCTTTTTCTCTCACATGATTAGAAATTTAGGCTATAGAAACTATGTCTAAAACAGGCATTACTATGTATTAGAAAACATCTTAAAACAGATTAGGATAGTTATTGACAAATATATCAAAAGAGTATTAAAACTATTGAGTCATAAATAAGATCCACATGATATGTCAATAGCAGAATAAAATGCAGGACAACTAAGTATAAGAAAGTTATGATGGTTCTGTGGTAAAATTTAAAATTTAAATGAGGATGATTTTTTAATTGGCAGCATTGATTTAATTTAATTATATTTAAGCCTCGCTGTCTAAAGTTAGGACTCAAAAAATTCAAATATCCATCATCCTATTATGATTTTTTAGAGTGATCATAATCATTAACCTGTATCTTTTTATTTCTATAGGAAAATGTCAAGTTTTATCTTCTGAAGAAACTTGGAGACTTTTGTAAAGGTGAAACTTTTCATCTTTAGGTAAGGAAACATTTGCTATTATTTATCCATCTGTTGAAAAGAGGGCATTTCAATTAGAGAAAAGAAGTAACATGAATTTAAGCTTTGCTTATGCTAACTGATATAAAACATTATGAAGATGATAAAAAGCTGGATTTTTAAGTTAAAAAAACAAATTAGTTGAAAATTTTTTCATTAAAAAAATCAGTTTGTTGGGGGAAAAAAGAGGCCCCTTTTATGTACTTTCTAATAGACGGACATTATAATAGGATTCCCATCATCATCTTTTCTAAGTATTTAGGACATAACAAAATTAAAATTATATTTCAAAAAATCTAGAGACACCTAGAATATCCCTAAACATAAATATAAACATATATAATAATAAGAAATAGACTATTTTGATAAATTTGAAAGACTGGTCACTGTTTTAAAAGCAGGCCAGTGAAATAAAGTTATTTAAGGTTTGGGCAGTAACAAAGAAGCTTAAACTCTGGGATATATTCACATGCTAGGAAAATATTGCTTTGTAGGGTCATAATGTAAATATAAACAATTTGTTTAATCAGGCAAGAACCTGTCCTTTGTGTGTGACCTCTTTTCAGTTTTTATTTGTGTCATGCTGGTAACGTACGAAAAGGGAAGACAAACTAACTTTTTGAGCATATTAAAATATTAGCAACTCATTCTATTTTTGGCAGTAATTCTATTAGTGCAATTTACTTGCATGAACAGGATAAATCACATGTATGAAAATCAGATGTTTTAAAGCAGATAAAGTAAAAATGCAATTAAAATATCTAAACAATCATTTAGAGATGCTTTGAAGTATTTTATGAAGCTAAAAGAATGAAAGAAGTAGTTAGAGAAATTATACATAGAATCTGTTATAAAATATGCAAATTTGTACATTCTAGCTTTCTCACCAATATCACATTTGGAAAAAGAAATAAATTGCAATGTTTGTCTTCTATTAACATATATTGTCAAGAGCAAACAAAACTTCTAATTTTAAATATATGAAACAGTTACATATAAATATTTTTAAAAATGTAAGTTTTAATAAGGTATAATAAGGTTTCGGTCTTTAAGAAATACACGTAAAAATTCATGTGGTTAAATAAAATCTAAAAACTTTGGGAGAAAAGTACTAATTTTTTTTACATGGATTTAAAGAATTCATTTCTAGAATATATTTTTCTCCTTATAAAACATTCATATTAATATTAAATATATAGGTTAAGACTTACTTAAATTACTTAATTAGGATATACTAAACTTCTAAGTTATTTTCAAAAGAAGAATTTTGGTAATCTGAAAAAGATTCTAACATTATTCCTAATGTACTCTTTAAATAAAGTCCTTTAATATGTCAGTTTTAAATCTTATATTTTAAAAGATAAAAAATAGAAAAAACTAACTTCTAATGGAAAATATAATTTAATAGCACTAAGAGTTGTAAGCATGTTATAAATATACGAGGAGATCAGTTTCATTTCTGACTTGTTTTAGAAACTTTCTTACGAATCACATATTTTAACATCAGAAGAATAATATATAAAATATGCATTACATTTTTATGGTCTAGCAGATATTAAAAAATAGAGAGAAAAAATGTAACTTTGCCTAGCTAAATTCTAACTAAGATGTTAAGTTAAAATTAGAAAAATACAGAAGCTAAAATAGTCTAATGAACTAAAATTTAAATATATATGTATATATTTTATGTCTTGACATATAGCATTTACCTTAATTGTTAATGAAACTATATACTGTAACATGAAATAAAAAAATTAATGATGCAGAAGTATTTTCTCATTGTAGTTTACTAGATCAAAAAATTTACTAATAAGCTAAATGTAATATTAAGGGTCATGTTTAAAATAAGATTTTTTAGAGTTTTGCTGAAGATGTATCTTTCCCAAAGGGCTTTGAGTTTTGTGTGTGTGTTAGGATTTCTGAGTTTTGTGATTCGAAATTCATGATACATTTTGAGTGCCCTTTCAAATGGCAAAATGTTTCTATGGAAAAATCAGACATTATGTACATTTTATTTTATATTTTGGTATGAGAAAAATAGCAGATACTATAGGAGAATCTAGTTGTTGTTTTAGTGCATGCATCAAATACCAAACAATTATTTTGTCTGTCAGTTACACGTCTGAGCAAGTTACAGTTTGTGTAAGTACATCTTACACATTTAATTTATATTGATGATACTGTGATCTCTAAATGTGATTTTCATATTTACTGAAATTATGGGCAATGTATTTAAAAGAAATGCATTTTAAAAAACTCGTTTTTAATTAAAATGAGAAACTTTAAAGGAGTTCATTAGCAAAATATGAGATTGTGCAGTTTTCTGAAAGAATGAACCCTTGGTTTTCTTTTCAAATTATATGAAAATGTTTCCTGACTGGTTGTTTGCTATTTTTTAAAGTCAGAAAGGGATAAAGTAGTAGTTATATGCTATTTCTGATTATCTTTCTATCAACAGAGAGAAAAAGGGAAAACAAAGTATGTTGACACAATAGAGTTTTCCCTTTAAAAAAAATGAACTTGAAATTGAAAAGATATATTGCCCATATCTGATTTTTCTTATTAGGACTTATTTAGAGTTGCATGAATTTTTTAAGGAAGTTTATCTTACAAAACGTAGAGATAGAGACTATTATAGTCAACTATAGGATAGTTCTTCTCTGTTGTTGATTTCCAGATTTTAGAAAACAATTTTTAAATTAATATTGTTGAGTACCAAAATATGTGTTATAATAATTTAGAAAAATGCCAGAAAATTATAAAGGCGAAGGGGAAGATTAACTGAAGCTAAATGTATCCCTACAAATGATAAGCATTTAGCACTATGAAGAGTGCTCTGGGGACAGCAAATAGTACTCTGTCAGGGATAATTTTCTGGGCAGTTGAGGTGGTCTGAGTGATAAAGGAAGGCAGCGAAATAGCAAAACTGGAACTGTTCGACAGAATTTGCAAAGTTAGTTTGGGATTGTGAGGGTGAAAGTTGGTGCAACAATTGGGTGCTGGGAAGGGGAGGGGAAAAGGGCTCGCCAGCCCCGGCGCCACGACAGGGTTAACGGCGGCGCCGCCCGGTGCACTCTGGGAGTTGTAGGCCGCGGGTATTGTGGGAGTTGTCGTAAAAGTTCGTTCTTTTGGTGTGATGGCCGCCGCCAAGGCAGGAGTTGGGGTATTCTGTCATTCCGGACGGCTTAGGGGGCTCTCTGTACCGTCAGAAGGCCACCGACAGCCCCCAGGTTACCGAGGGCCTGTTAAATGTGTGCCTGGGAGGTGGGCGAGCGGTCTGCTGGGTTAAGCTTGGGGCCTCCTGTCGCTAGATTGGCCTGGGGGCCTCTGGCGGCTAAGGGCTAGATGAGGGGCTCCAGCCTGCCGGACCCTAGCCGTCTGGCTTTCAGCCTTCAAAATAACTGGCAGACCAGCGCCTAAGCGTTTTGGGGCATGCTTTGTTTTGTTGTGGTTTGTATCCTGCACCCCTCCCACTTTTCTTACATTGTTCGACTCTGTACTTCTGGTCGTTGATGCTCATGACCCTATTTGGGGTTAGGTTGGGCTCATTTTCTTGGGTCTGGTGGGATTTGTGCAACAAGTGGAATTTTGGAAAGTGTGGACAGAATATCCTGAGTGTTGTCTGTCTTGTTTTAGGTGTGAGAAACTGCATGAGTGGTGAACGTGCCCCTGAGTGTGTGCTTCACTTTCTCTTGCATGTGGTGAACCTTGCCCTTGTGTGCTAATGCTAAGAGGCAGTGTGGGGCAGTTCCGCCTTGTGAAATGCCTTTCTGTTAACTTGGATGTGTTCTTAAACCTTTTCGAGCCTCCAAAAGACTGTTTTGCAATTGTTCGTAGAACAGTATAGTGTGCAAAAAATGAATTTAAAACAGATCCACCATCACAATTACCTTTAGTTCTAGGAAGCAATCCCCTTCACCTTAGTGGTGCTGTGAAGTTGTTTGGGTACTTACGGGAATCAGATTTGCTTTTAGCTGTGTTACCTTACTTTTGGGTCACAGGGTTCCTCTGCATCTTACTTGTTTTTCGATAATCTCTCAGCTTGAGTCAAAATGCGACACTGTGTATTGACATGTAACTGCACATATCAGAATCTCAGGATAACACCAAATTGCCAAGCAGGTCAGTACCTGTCTTAACACCCCTGCACAAACTCAGTATTTCTGCCACCATGTGCTGCTCCATAAATTCTGCCTTATTTAGAGTCTGGTTGTTGTTTATGTAACTTGAGGCCTAACTAGCCATGAAAAGCTATTTATCAGACAATATTATGTAAAAGCTTTTCCCCCCCACAAGTAAAATTGTCATCTAGAACGTTTTTTTCATTCAAGTTTGGTGAAATGGGGGATTTAAAATAAGTATAATGTGCTTTTGAAAATCAGCTCTCAGTTTTTAGTTTGGGGGGCAGGCCATGTGACAGAAATGATTTGTAGTGAGAGAGGAAAAAAATTGTTATTTTTCTTGGTATTTTAGAGCCTATAAAACCTGTTTCTGTGTCATTTTGTTGGACTACTTTCATATATCATTAAAAAACCCTTTGATGTTTTGTAATGTACTGGGTTTTCATAATTCCCCTTTTGTCTGAGTTTGCTTAGTACTTGAGTATTTGAAAATACAGTAATGGTATGGAAGGGAGCAAAGTGGATGGGTTTGTATACGTACTTCTGTTGAATGTGATTTTGGGTATGGATTGGTAAACTAATACTGTTGGCTTGCTAGGCAGGTATCAGGAAGGTATTTCCTTCACTCTGACCTGACCTCAGTGTATCTTAGAATATTAATTAACTTGCCAATGGAAAAGGATTGGGAAACTTATTTTTAAATGATCTATATTGCTCATATTTGTTATTGTTAGGTGATGTGGTAAAATACTGGTGGTTTTGTATCTTAGAAAACTTTTTATCTTAGAAATGGCTAGAATTTGTAGATTTGTAGAGTCATAAAATCATTCAAAACCAATGACAACCACAATTTGCTTTGAA